ATTTTGGCTAGAGGGGGCGCAACCTCTGCATCGGCTCGGAGCGAATAGTACCTGTTTTTCTGGTAACAACAATCTTCCGTGCAGCTACATTTTCCTCCACATCCCTTTTTGCATTTACACGCGATCTGTTTTAATATTTTTTCAGGAATGAGTGGCTGCAGTGTGATGACCGGAAGCAGTCCATTTTCAGTTTTTTTCCATCCCCATTTTCCTACTAAGATTTTCCCCTTTCAATAGCCTCCAGTAGAGCAGTATATATAGTATCGTAGTTACTTGCCGGAGCGTCTATAAACGGCAGAAAAATGATCCGCGAAGTATCATAATCCTTGTGATGTGTCATTTTTTCCATGTAATCGTTCCACCCTTTCACACTGGCATTTTCAGCATATTTTTGAATGAATTTTTTAATTAATTATAGTTTATTTACGTTATTTTTCATAATACAAGAAAAGCCTTGGGCATGGCTGAAGATCTCTATAAGAGCTATCGAATACTAAATTTTGAAGCATTTTCATCAATTATTATAAAAGTTATGGATGTTTCAAAATGACAATTCATAACGACGATTTTTGCACTTTTTTGCAATATAACTTTGCGAAAAAAAGTCTTCCAATGATCTAACCTACACAGATCGGTAGATAATTAAATAACGAACAAAATATCTTTAGCTATTTTTGCAATCCGACAGCCACAAAAAAAGTTATTTGAGAAAAACTAAGAAAAAAATGGTAAATTTTTACTAATTGTTTAATAACAATTGAAGCCCGTGGTTTTGTTGGACAAAACTATTTTTCCATGTTTACAGACCATAATACGAAGCGATCTGCAAAGTTTGGACGCTATCTCCGATTTGTTCCTTATTGATTGCTTCAGCTACCGGGCTAATATGCCCGAGCCCTTACTTGCTCGAAAAAGTCGCACTGGCCGGGAATCGAACCACTTGCCGACTGAGCCCAAACTTATTATGCCCCCAAATGGGCGTGAACCGAGACATGGAGTGGTGATGGAGACGACTTTTTTAACAACTTGTAAGCCAAACGAAGCAGCCGTTTACTAATAGTTCATGCACGATTTGTACATAAAAATTTGAAACGTCTTCACAGATTTTGATTAATAAATTAAAAATCAAAAACAAAAATCGTACCAGCTGTGAACCGCTTGAAATTTGAAGGAACTAGCATCTCCTGATTACGCTAAAAAATTACCATATGTTTATGTATAGTCATTCTTCAGAAATAGATATTTAAAGTGGTGAAAAAGTAAGATTTTTGGAGTCTTGAAAATTAAATTATGCAAAACATGTTAAAAATGTTTTGAAGTGAAATCCCTAAGTGAAAATTTGAGAGTCGCTACTACTTAATCACTCGGCACTTCGTACTAATTAATAGAGAACCTATATTCAAGGTGCTCTCTCTATAAGTGCATCGTTATAAATGGGACTACACTGTCTGTCACCACGCTACAGCCGCTCATTCATAATACAATTTCAAAACAAATTGCTTGTTATTGCAAGAAAGGGTAAAGAGAAAAAAGGAAGTTGCAAAAAAATAGAATCAATTATTCAATTGTCTGTAAAAATTGTCAGTGCAAGAATTATGCAAATATAAACAATTAAATAAATGTATTCAAAACTCTTCGTTTTGCAAGTGAGGCACGAGCAATGTACGAGGTATCAGATAGAGCAAAAAGTGTTATTAAAATAACAGGATTTAATTTAGCATACTTATGGTATTATTCCTTTATTATATCAAACTGAGTTTTCATATCAAAATGCTAACTTTGAATTAAAAATAACAAACTGACATGCTGCAAAGCGCTTTTTTAGACTTTTAACGCTTTGAAAACAGTTTTCGTTATTAACTGCACTATAACATTACTGTTGACTAAATCGGTCAGTAAAAAAAAAGTATTTTTACGATATGTATAATTTTTGTATTGAACACTTTGTCTATGAATGTGATGTATAAAAATTAAATGGTGTAAAACGAATTTTTTCTGTCCTTTCGAAACAATTTTTGCTGATTGAATCGTTAAGAAAGGACTTTAGAAAATAACTTGTAAGATGAAAAAATTATATTTAAATAGGCTCTACCATTTTTACATCCAACACTTTGTTGTAGAATTGTTGTAGAATACGAGTTTGAAAAGTCTCTGTTTGCGAACCGAGAGGTTTGCGACCCGAGCTGAAGGCGAGGGACGTAACGAGGTTCGTAAAGGAGACTTTTCGAACGAGTTCCGGAAAACTGCTTTTTCGCCCGAGGAAGTACCAGCCTCCCAAAACCACCCGAGGGCGGAAAAACATGTTTTTCACTGTTTCTGTATCTACATTTCGTTGTAAAGCATCTGCATTGCTATCTAGAGTAAAATATGTAACAAAAAATTATTTTATTTTAACGGAATCTACAACTCTGTCTTTGAATACGAACGTGTAAAATGTACGAGAAAAATTTATCGTTGAAAAACTATTTTATTTCGTCTAAGAGCACTGCACAAAAAATGCTGTAAAAATTTTTCCTTTTAAAAAATTTATCAAAATGTAAACTATTAGCTTAGACATCCGACTTGAAGATACGAACAACATTTAAGCCTATATGGATAATAATTACGTGAGTTAGTAGGCCAACTCACATCATCCTCATACTAGGTTCGAATTTGTTTTATATTATAAATAGACCATTTATTACTGGTTACACTTTTTGCTCTGTAAAATAATAAGGCACTCCTACAAATTATATGTGCCTTCAAAAACAACGATATTTGTGAGTGAAAGTAAGGTTGAAGACGCAATAGAAGCAAATCATAGAGTAGAACACAAGACAGTTTTAATTAATGGTGACGTGGTAGAGGATGATTGTAATGATATTCTGTTTCTTACATGGGTTTTTCTATCCAGGAGTATTTTTATCGACCAGATATCATTGTAACGAAATTTATCAATTTCTAAACGCTTTCAGTAAAGTTGATTAACTAAAACGAATTGTATTTTTGAAGGTATACATAAAAATATACATTACATTCTTCAACTACTTTAGTTGACATTTCAACATACATAATATAGCTTACAATTAATGGCACAGTAACCGCAATCAATTATAAAAAATAATACTTCTCTCAAGCACTTGATTATAAATAAACGAGATTCTTTGGCTTGTAACAATAATAAATTTTTTAATTATTGGTCGTAGTAATTTTTTAAATTTATATTGCGTTAAAAATATAACAAGCCAAATTTCTGATGCGACATTTATAGTATCTATGATAGACGTATCATCCAGAAACATTTTGCAACTTTTTTTCTGACTCCTTTTGAGCAAGGATCCGAGTGTAAAAAAGATTAAAATCCAACCTGTCAAGAATGACAGTTCGTTAAAATAAAGATTATTTTACATTTAACATAATTATTGGAACTGTATTCCTACTTACCGACATACAACGTTCAGCAGTTTTTCATTACTATTATCACAGCCTAAATCGCAAATTCTATTTAAAAACCGAATAAGAACGTTGGTAAATTGGTCGTCCAGCAGAACGATTTTTTCTTCAAAACTGGTTCCTTCGCTTGAATTTCCACTGCACTCAGACTGCAGACAAAAAATTGTTTAAAAAGTAATAGGTAGGTAAAGTCTGGCATTTTTAACACAAAATAATACTTTTATAAAATTTATTAATAACGTTGAATGGATGCATTATTGCGTAGCTTCGAAAATGTGATTGATGTGGACCATTATTTTTTTAATACTGACTATTAGACTTATGAATTTTCGGCCCTATTAATTACATCTCATGCACCATTTCTACAAAATCAATAAGAATTATTCTAAACTACAGTGACTCATTATACAGTTGAATTACATTTACAAATAAAAAAACCTCTGAAATTAAAACATTACTACCTGTAAAGAGATATTTAACCAAAATTAAATAATTTAATGTAAGACAAATTTAGGAAAACACTTAAAAAATTGAGGGCACTTGAAACTCTAAAATGTCAGTAATCTTGTCGGCAAAATATATAGTAAGAGATGCGCTTATTTATTAATAATATTATAACAATTAACAAAACAAGACAAATCTTGCTTGAAAAAATTATAGTCATACAGCCGTAATAGCTGTTTTATTTTTAAAACGCCGTTTTTACTACTGTAGCTACAAATGTATTTTGAGTTGATAAAAGATATGTACCAGAACGAAGTAAATATCTTTTTTCATGTAGCTGCATTCTATGTTTTTAAACAAAATGAAAAAACAACTTTTTTAATAGTAAAAGATTGCATTATTTAGTTATTAGAGTCCATCTCCTTGATACTTTGAATAATCATGTGAGACACATGTTAACCGAATAAAATTTTTCATTTTAAAAAAATTATCAAATATTCGGTAGAAGCTCAAATTTTAAGTAATATTTAATTCATAATAAAGAAAAACATGCTGAAACATAAAATACTTCTTGGGCACTACGAGTACTGAAATGGGGTCTAAAACAGCAAAATGCAAGAATGGAAAACGTCTCTTGATGAGATAAAAAGCAAGCTGATGTTTTACTAAACACTATATTAATGGTCGATGCACTGTGAAAAAAATTAATTAATGCAGTGGGACCCTTGTGAAAATACCTCTGGTTCAAAGATGTCGTCTTGGCAGGCGCCAATCATAGAGGTCAATTCGGCATCAATGAAGTAGCGGCTCATACGCTTTGCGTGAGTAAAATGTCAATTAAATTTGAGGAAACATTTTCATTTGAAAGCCACAAAACAGCAAGTACACACCCTTGCTTCTCAAAACTTTTTTCAAAATTAGAACAAATAGTAATAGTAATAATAATTATAATAGTAAGTAGTACTATGTTATGTTACCTGCATGAATTTGCAAAATTCAATGCACACTGCACAAATGCCGGTTATGCATGACAATAGCTCTGGGTCGGTTAGCATGCATTCCTTTAAATAGCTATCTTGCAGATCCTGATGAACATTTAGCACTTCGTCGACGTTGCTGACCTACATTATTTTTCAATACCATATTAGAGTGAATAAATTAAAGAAAAAAATAAAGCGAAGTAAGAATAATTAAAAATGAATACCTTGCTCATTTTATTCAAGAAAGTCAACCAATTTGGTTCTATGACCTCCACCATCATGTAGTACTCAAGATGCTGGATGCAATCCAACATGCGCTGCCTCAATGAGAATGCCTGACGATAAGCCATTGCAGCTTCATGAGTAAACGTTTTGGCAATCTTGTTGCTGATCCACACCCTGCACAACAATCTTTCAACGTGCTTACAGAAGAACAAGTGTCTAAACAACATTTGATAACAAGCCATTGCTTTTCTATTGATGACTAATGATACCGGCCATTTAACATCATAGTTGAAAACGAAGGCTTCCAAGCCCGTCAAGACTTTATCTGCATGTGAACAATACTCTAAAAAATGATTATTTGAACGTGAAAATCTCCTACTGTTAGGCCTTATGGGCAACAAAACATTTTAGCTACTTTAGTACCTTTTTCTTCCGTCGTTTGAATGGTCAAAATTCTAAACATTTGATACTGTAGATCATAAGGCAGCAACTCCGGTTTGAGGTCATCTTTGTAAGGGTCTGTATCTGCGGTAGACATTCTCAATGCTACTTCCAGAAGTGATGATAGCCGGTGTGTGACAATATCGTACATGTTCTTACTTAACTCAGCTTCGCACAAATTCATAAATTGGACCTACCCAAGAAAAAAATTATTGACGATTTGCATCAACCAAACTTATTATATTTAATTATGTATTAATATACCACAAAGTCTCCTTGTGCAAGCAAGAAATAATTTTTAACGCTACGTAAGCGACCCATTAAATCATTTTCTTGAATAAGCACTTCAAGTAGAGTTCTGGCAGCTTCCAAATATGCTCTGTCGATAGTTGCAATGAATTTTTGATCCCTATGTTGATAGACCAATGGTTCTTGTTTACCCCATTGAACAGTTTTTCCTAATGTGCATTAGAAACTTGTGAAATGAAGTGATTCGTGAAGTTTTTAAATAATTAAAAATCATCAACTTTTCCAACATACCACACTGTCTAATAACATTAAAATATTTGCCAGTCCTCAATATAGTTTGTGCATTTTCATTCAGAAAGATGGGAATTCTTTCTGGTTTCATTGAGTACCTTTTTTCCCAATAATCTGCAGAGTAATCCATAGGTAACTCCTCTTTCTGTATCAGTGCATTGTCTTCCACAAAAAACTACCACATCGATAACATTATTATACTTCTTGACATTTCGTTTCAGGTTTATTAAATACAAAACTTACTTCGTGATGAGGGTCACATATTACACCTTTATACACCCATTTTTCCAATGTCTGCATATATGGGATGCTTGCCGATTTCATCAAAAATAAGCATAATTCCTTGCTTTTTGCCTCTCCACTCATATCATTTATTTGTTCATGAAGAAGACTTAAAACCTTACCACCACGAGCATTTGCCTTCAAATACATAACATCATTGATGAATTAATTTTTTATTTTACCTCATTTTTTATTACTGTACAGATATTTTTGAAACGTTACCTTAAAAATAGTGGAAGCTACATGATTTAATATGGACATGGTGGTCATTATTGGTTGAACGTAAAACAAAAGCTTTTGTAAGTTCAACTTTCCCCGAGTGTGTTCATTTTCCATTTGTACAACAAACAGCTAAGAAAGAGTTTCATCAAAATGTATTAAACGATTAAATGATTGATTACAAGTAACACAAACCATATAGTCTCTGAGTAAGCTATGCAGAGCTCCTCTCAAAGCATGGTTCACTTGTCCATGTTCTGGAAGAACTTTATCTTCTACGAAGCGAACAGTCATCGAGTAATACGAAGCCAGCGGCAATATTCGTTCCGTCAGTTGCTTGAGCGATACACCTGTCGAAGTTTAGCTTTTTTATAAAAAAATAAACAGCATGTGACTTAATAATTTGGATGAATTTGATTATACATACCAACATCTTGTGATATTCTGAATGTTACAGGACTGTAGGAACTGGCCAAAGGTTCTGATACTATGTAGGATCCATCTATTCCTTTCAGACAGTGTAATATGTCCCAAATGAGAATTGATTCTTGGGAGATGGATGGAACTACTTCTACAATATATTTCAAAATATTGTTACTAGAGGTAAAAAATAAAGAGGAAACGAATGAACTTTAAATAAATAATACTCTGTGGTGTCATTGCCGGATCTGATTGGAAGTCCCATGATAAAAGTGGCCTCTCTGAATACCACGAGTGCTTTGCAGTCACTGCTTCGGTCGGTTTATTTACAGGACATACTTGTTTATTTAATTTCTTTTCTCCTTCATTGGCTGCTTTGATGACATTTTTGAAGATCTACTCACAATGAGAAAACTTTGTTGAATACCAAAACACTTAATAATATCTTATTTAAAAAAATGAATATGTATTTACACACTTTTGGCACATCTTCATTGGTAATGGTTGTATTTACAGAGGAAGCTGTTACTATTGGAGGTGCATTTTTGGCCAGAAAACTTTTCAGTTCTCTATCAACAGATATAAACTCCAACAACTGCATAAACGGACCTAGCATGTCCATTCTAGAAGAAAAAAGTAACGATTAGGTGACAAAATATCACATTATATTGTCCACACAAACCCACTGCGAATATACTGACTTCTTTGACTTGAGCTCTTCATACTTTTTTAGGAACAGCTCTGGATTTGGCGAGTTTTTTGCAAGTTGCCGAACACAACTTTGAGTGGCATCTGTACTCAAGCCCACTGGACTGGACTTTGCTCCTTCCTTCAGCAATTTTTCTACATGTTTTTCAGGAGATGACGTAGATCTAGAATTTTTACATTGTTACAAACTGCAGTCATGTTTTTCAAACCATGATTGCTCACGGTTTTACTCACCCCAGTAATTCAATTAACTCTACCACTAAATGATGAAGCTTAAACTCACTCATTGTCCAGAAAAACAAAAGCTAAGACATTTATCTGACTAAATAATTCAAAGATGAAAGTATTTTTAAAAAATAAAAATGCTCTAAAGTTAACAAAAAATTTATTTGTCAGTAGGATTTTCAAACTTTTAATGTTATACTCTAGGCTAGCAATTAATAGACGTCAAGAACGTTACTAACGTCATCAGTTTGTTTGTTTTCTTTTAAGCGCTATTCTGTCCAAATTTACAAATACGTTTTTGTTGAAGGTTATGGGTCTATCGAATGATCGAAAATAAGCACTATAGTATAAACCAAAAGCTGAGACCGGAAGATGGTCAAAATTTCAACCAGCCGCCACTTTCACCAGAATTGAGAAACTTCATGATTCTTGGAGATCCGAAATATTTTTGTCATATTTTATTCTGGTAAAAAGTTTTGTTGGTATTCAAGAAGTGCCAATTGGTTTTTATATAAACCAGCCGCAACTTAAGGTAATAGATAGAAAAGAAAAAGTTGACAGTCGAAGTTCTATTTGCAGTAAGATTACAATGCATCTTATACCCGAAAATCGACCTCCAAAAATTTAGATATTGTATTCTTATCTATGATGTCATCTACAATACCTCATCCATTATCTTAGATGAGTATTATAATAGAAACGATCAGGTAGGGGGTCTATTTTTTTGAATTTCGATTTTTGGGTACAAGGTGCATACTTATCTTGCTGCAAATGAAACTGCCAGTGACAAATTTTTATATGCTATCTGTTAATCTAAGTAGCGGCTGGTTTATATAAAAAGCGCATGGCACTTCTTGAACACCAACAAAACTCTTCACCAGAATAAAATATGACCAAAATATTTCGGACCTCTACGAATCATGAGGGTCCTTAATTTTGGTGAAAGTGGCGGCTGGTCAGGATTTTGACCACCCTCCGGCCTCGGCTCTTGGTCTAAATCGATAGCACCCAGAATAAAAAATATAAACCAATAAGAGACCCAGAGTCCAGAGCTGAGGGCCAAAAAGTAATTAAAAATCTAAACCAGCCGCGACAATCATCAGGATGAGGAAACTTCACGATTCATAGAGATCCAAAATATGTTTTTTGGTAAACAGTAATGTAGTAATTGTAGTAGTGCCATATAGGCGATTTTATAGATCAGACTAATGTCGATTTTATAGACTAATGGATGCAAAATAAAAAGTTTTCAACACTATATAAGTACCATTCTTGGCAAGATTAAAATGTATATACTACCCGAAAATTGACTTCTAAATGTATAGAAACTCTCACTTTATCTATAATATTGTCTACAACGACTTATCTATAGTATCTTAGATGATTATTATAGATAAGATTAGCGTTTAATGAGGGGCGCGGAAAGGTAGTTTCCCCCCCCCCCGTTATTAAAATTCGAAAATTGCCACAACTCTGATTGGAAATGTAAAATGTCGTAAATCAACTGGCAAAGTTGCGGTTGGTTTAGCTTTTATGTGGAGGTCCATTTTTTTGAAGGTTGATTTTCATATAAAAAAATGAATTTTTATCTTGTCGCAAATGGCGCCTTTCGTAATGAAATTTTTGTTTTTTTCATTTATTTGTCTATAGGTTTCGGCTGGTTTATAAAATCGACTACATGACACTACTTTAATTACCACATATAACTCTTCACCAGAATGAAATATGACGAAAATATTTCGGATCTCTGGGAGACATAAGATTTCTCAATCCTGATGAGAGTCGCGGTTGGTTTAAGATTTTCAACCATGCACTAATAAAATCAATAAAAATTACATAAACTCGCACTGATGCCATTGCACAAGCCGGCTTACCGAAACGAAAACAGTTGACGTAAAGCACGTGCGTTATTGGCTTTTTGTTCGCAGAAATATAAAGATAACTGTATTAACTGTGCATCTGTTCGCTGTGTGCAAGCCCTTGGAGGGGGTAAAAAAAGCGAACTAAGAGCCCATGGTGAGAGAAATGTGCAAAATTTAGGGACTCTTAAGGATTCATAACATTAGTGATTGCGTGTTGTTGAGTTTTTCACTATTTCGAATCACCGAAGGTAAATATAATTATTGTCATGATAAACTCATGGTTCTCAGCTTTTTTATTGAAAAGATATTGAATATAACCTTCAATTATACGAATGGTAATTAATAAAATAAAGCTAGTGGAGATGTCACTTACTGTCACTTACGCCATATCCGCGTAACTTTACGGTCGATATGAGTCTGATCTGCTTCGATACTACAATTTGAAGTTATATTACTAGCTTAGGTGGCATTTTTTATTTAATAATTCGAATGTCAGAGTAACTTTTTGCTTTAACATTGTACATAACAGACAACTAGTATATTCAGAATTGTTGAAGTTATAGTTGCTTTCACGTTTGCTGTAGTCATAAATCTGTAAGCTTGTAACATTTGCTATTTATAATGTTATGTATTGGATCCTCTAAAGTCCTGAAATTACGCACCGTTTCACCATCAGATGGCGCCAATATACTTGCACACAGCGAATTGAAGTCCTGGCATATGTGAAAAACAATACAAAGCCGCTACGTCTTATTTATTTCTAACATTAAATAATCAACTTTATTGTCAACAGATATTATACTTACATGGTTTTCATCAAATAAAAATAAATTGCTAAAAAAACTGCATACAATAAATATTTGCTTCAAAATAGCGAAAAAGTACAAGTCCCGCATACAAAAAAATACCAGTTTTAATCACAAATTTTATGCATTTTAAAAAATTATTGAAAGACTAAGACACGGACACGATATGTGTCCAATTTGTCTTAATAATAAATTTAATTATTTAAATTTGGAAACATACAAAAAAATGACTTTTAGATAACTAGCTGACAGTTTAAATCAGCTGATTTTTTTCAGCAGTGGTACATGTATTTCAATATACTTACATTATAACCAGCTGCTGAAGAGCGTGGCTTTGGTAGCTTCGACTGGCAATTAATTTTAACTTTCCTTATAAACCTTACTTGATAAAATTTTTTATGAGGATTGCTTATTCGATATAAGTACCGATGTACGAAAACATTTATTTCTCTTTATACAACAGTACTTATGACAAAATCGATATTCCTTCCTTATATAGGAAGTTTAGTGTTGTACATGACATTTATTTCACTAACTTGCAACGACTTGCGAGATGTTGAAGAGTCAGGATCAAACATCCAACGTGGTGTTAACAAAAAAAATGGTAAATTCACATTTCTTCACAACTACCTTTATATGGATATCATTAAAAAATACAAATATTTTAATTATATTTCCTGTGTAATACTATATTCTTATCCAATGAAGAAGAAGCAATACAAAGTGGTGGATGGCCTACTTTCTTACGAATTTTCCAATATGAGTATGATATAAAAGGGACCAACAAGTATAGACCCAAATTGAGGACAAAAGAATACCGTTTTTTAAGATATACTAAGAGGATTTGAAAAACAATCACAGCATAAACTATACCCGATTGAGATGCAATAAAAAGTTTTAAAAAAAGCAATAAAAAAATTTAATCTTTAAGTCACCGACATAATTACATATTTAGTTAAAATACGACTGTATCTCAAATGCTTACTTTGCATTAAAATATTATTTTGATAATATTAATTTTATAAAACTCTTTAAGAATGTGATCTGCTCAATCTTTTAGGAGCATCTTATATAATAAGTCACTTGCTAGTGTACTGCATTTGTAAGTCATATTATAATGATTATCTCAGTGATAATATAGTTTTTAAATTTGTTTATCCATCCTCGTAAGTAAATTGAAAATAACATAATTACAAAAAATATTGCAAAAGTAAGTAAAAGTTTATTGCTTGACGTACACCTAATTTTTAGCATGTGAGTATGTGTGGGCGCATATGTGTTAAACCACACCTTTGTTTGATCATTTATTAACCGGAAGTTAGTTAACGGCCGTTATAAAACCAGGGCGGCCCTTTGTGTGTTGGTGTATATAATGAAGTATGAGCTTAATGCCCTTCTCTCTTTCTTCGGCAGCTTTTTATTTGCGGCCATCATGAAACGGGGCTAGCTTGATATAGGAGCATGAAAACAGAGAGCAATGCTTATACGTATATGCATACCTAAACTTAGGAATAAAAGAAAAAAAACAGAGTAGAGAACGAGGGATGGACACTTGTGCACGTACAGCATCTCGTGCTCAATTTAAAAAGTAAGTACATGGCGCGGCGAGGAAAACAAAGGAAAAAGAAAATGCAAAGCAAAGAGAGAATCTGTACGTTACAGAGGGAGATCGGTATAGGATGGCGAACAATAAAACGTCATTTGACTTGATTGGTAATAATAAATAGGAATTTATCGGTACGGGCCGGCAGTTACGACCATCAGGAGAAGAACATGAGTGTTAAGGGAGGCAGATAGTCACTGCTATAAGTACTTCTGTACCATGCCTGCATTGTTCGAAAGAAGGGAAGAGACAGAGAAAGAGAGAACGTCTTTCAAGGAGGACTGTCATTGTCGGCCCCTCATTCCTCATTGAGTCTCGACGTTGTCACCTGTGCAATAGCACCGTAATGTTATACATGCGCCTCGACCTATAATCTCCATCTTTTCTTTTTCTCTTTTCTTCTTTTTTTTACCTCGGATCGGTGCGAAATTCATTAAGAAGAGACCTCGTTATTTAAAAAACCATCCATTGACTCCCTCGACGTTTGATTTTGCTGGGTAAAGATGCTTTAAAATTATAATAGCACACCCTGCTAGAAAAGGTCGATTCAAGTCGATTCCAACAATTTCAATCTTCAATCAGTTCCAATGAGGAATCTTAATGTCACAATATCCTATGAAAACCGTTTAATTGAATGCTTGAAGGGAAAAATAGAAGAAAAAAAATATTTTTTGGCTCCGCGTGTTAATCATACCACTGTCGACTTCTAAGAACTGCAAGGGCATTCAGTATATCGGCCGGAGATTTTTCTTTATGGATTATTTACACTTGGGTAAATTTCTATTATTGATTAATCCAAAAGTTGTTTTTACGTAAAATAACAAGAAAAACCATCAAGCTGGTACTTTTAGGAATCTATAGGGCCCAAATTTATTGCAATCCATCGTAACTTCAAAGAGAAAAGTAACATTCCACAATAATTAAAGAGTAGATTTTATAAAATGTTACTTAATCTCAAAAAGTAATACACTGAATGGCCTGAAATTTGAACAGGACTTCTAAAATAATAGAACAAACT